GGAGGGGCGCTAACACTATCGGAAGTCGCCAGCGACACTGATACAGTGATCAGTAAAAATTGGTTCACTGATCAGTGACACTGGTGACAGGGCAGTGAAGGGGTTAACTGGGGGGGCGATCAAGGGGTTTAGACGGGACTACTGGTGTATTAGCGGGCAAACTGGCGCTATCTGGGAGGGGCGCTAACTCTATCGGAAGTCGCCAGCGACTGATACAGTGATCAGTAAAAATCGCTTCACTGATCAGTGACACTGGTGACAGGACAGTGAAGGGGTTAACTGGGGGGGGCGGCGATCAGGGGGTTAAATATGACCTAGAGTGTTCTAACTGTAATTGTGCAGTGTTTTTTACTCACTTTTACTGTATCTTCTTCTCTGTCTGGAACGGAATGTGTCCAGGCAGAGAAGAATGACATCATATCCTGCCCTGTGTAAATGTCAACACAGGATAGGACAGGGACCGATCATGTGATTTCAGCCTCCTGGATCGAATCGTGTCGCCCGCGGGTCGGCGGAAGCGCTCGCGCACGCCCCCTAGCCGCGAATGTGTCGGGAGCGCGGAGCACGTTTTAAAACGTGCTTCTGCGCTCCACTGCCGCCCTGCACACGTATATATACAGTGGCAGGGCGGCAAGCGGTTAAAAAAAAGAAAAAAAAAATCCAGTGTATATGTACTGCCATTTGTAGACACTGACTTTCATGTAAACCAAGGAAGACTCCTTGGATGCATGAAATATTTTGCCTAGGCATGGTAACCAAGACGTAATTGAAGAAATCTAAAAAAAAAAAAAAAAAAAAAAAGTTTAAAAACCGTAAATATGAAATGCTTTCCTATTAATGCTTAAGCATAAGGATGTAAAATGGTCAATATTGACAGTGAAGTTCCACTTTATGCCCTCCAGCCACAAGTCAAGACAAGCCCCAAAGGAAACTTTACATCGATTGTACAATCAGATTGCATAGTATAGGGCCGAGATTCGAAATTGTGGCTTCTAGCAGAAGGTGAATGCCAGTCCAGTCTGTGGGCAGAGCCTCGGCATTATGACTTGCACAGTAAGTATGAGTTACACAGGGATGTTAAAGTGGAACTGAAGGCAGCAAATACTCACCTTTCCTTCACTAGTTTCCTCCCTCACCAGAGCCAGCATCTTCTGTGTACTGGTTTTTGTCCCTGTTATTTAAAGCGAAGTTCCACTCTCCTGTCAAAAAATAAGTCAGCAGCTACAAAAACTGTAGCTGCTGAATTTTAAAAAACAGCCACTTACCTGTCCCTCGGTCCTGTGGTGTGTCCCCTGCAGTCTTTCACCGGCCGTCCTGTATTCCAGGAGGCCGGCATCTTCAGTGTGGGCACTGGGCTGTGACTGGTTGCAGCTTCACAGCCAGGTACCCACTGCGCATGCGTGAGTAGCGCTGCACTTTATGAATGGTCCTGTAGTCTTCTGGGATCTGTCATGTGAACCAAAAGACTACAGGGAGGGAGGACACCTTCCGCTTCCGATTGCCTAGGCGATCAGACCGGAAGTGGGAGCGGATACCTGTCAAATTCGGGTACCCGCCCCCCAAAGGTGCCAATTCTTAATGGGGAGCGGGGGAGCAGTCCTTAAAGCTGAACATTCCCTTTTGGGTGGAGCTCCGCTTTAAATCCACTAATACATTTACCTCCCCTACCTGCACAGACTTACATTACTGCTGTCTGCTGTGCCCCCTGTACTCCTTCATCCAGAGTTGGGGCATTCTAATACAGGACGTGTGTTACTGGCCAGACCACAAGGTGAAAACAGAGGGAGAAAAACGCCTAAAAAAGAAAACGAATGCAGCCATCACATCTTATGATGAGTAAGCTGCAATATAATCAGGGGCAGACTGACCATTTGGAAACTCTGGCACTGGCCAGGGTCAGTAGGGGGCCCCATGAGATGCCCCTGGTACCTTTTTTCATAGGCTTTTTTGAGTTTGGGCAAGGACACAGGGGCCCCATGATCCCCTATTGCCCGGGGGCCCCATGAGTTGTCAGTCTTCCCCTGAATATAATACATTTTTAGTTTTAGGTTTAACATGGCTACAGGGCAGGCTGGTAATGAAGTGGTTAAGCTGTTTGCGGGCGTTCATTGGCTGAGCTCAGGAGGTTGTAATCAGAGAGCCAGATGATGGATGGGGAGAGGAGGGCTATGTTGGAGGACCTGCAGGAGACAGTTTATTAAGCCTTGCTATACAAGGCCAGGTTGAGCACGTGCGGTGAGGATATGATACCATGCAGAGTCATTAACCGCTTGCCGCCCTGCCACTATATATATATATATATATATAATAGGAAGATAACAGCAGTGAGCGCTAATCCTGAAAGCGGCTAGGCACTCTAAGCAACCAATAACACTTAAAAGCAATAACATAAAAATAGTGCAGCGCTGAAAATAATGACAAAATGACAAAAAAGTAGTCCACTAAAAGTCTGTCATATAAACGTATCCAGTGTCAGATGTGGATTCAGAATAGGTGATCCGTGTGGAAATGGCTGGAAAACGCACTCACCAGAAGTAAGACACATAAACGCAGTGTGTATATAAAGCTCATGGATCTTCAATCCAGAGGGAAGTAAAGCTGATCCGGTTACAGGAATGGTGGATCCCTCCTCCGCAGATGCAGCAACAGATCTTCCTTAACACGATTAGATGTAGAATTCCAAGACCAAGGTTCTGCAAGCAAAAGCTCCTCAAGGGAGTTTTAGGGAAGGACACCCATAGTGAAGTAGGTAATAAAAGGCAGCTTTATTCACAATAATGATATCCAATTCAAAGCAGGCAGGTATCCTACAGATGTGTCAGCAAGACAACTAACCCTGGTACTTTGAATAGTGGCCGCCAGGCCTCCACGTGGCACCGGCGGCGTAGCGTCTCGACGTCCAGGCTCCTCCTTACGCGTTACGTGCGCACGCACATCTTCAGAGGTATGGAACCTCAAAGTACCAGGGTTAGTTGTCTTGCTGACACATCTGTATGATACCTGCCTGCTTTGAATTGGATATCATTATTGTGAATAAAGCTGCCTTTTATTACCTACTTCACTATGGGTGTCCTTCCCTAAAACTCCCTTGAGGAGCTTTTGCTTGCAGAACCTTGGTCTTGGAATTCTACATCTAATCGTGTTAAGGAAGATCTGTTGCTGCATCTGCGGAGGAGGGATCCACCATTCCTGTAACCGGATCAGCTTTACTTCCCTCTGGATTGAAGATCCATGAGCTTTATATACACACTGCGTTTGTGTCTTACTTCTGGTGAGTGCGTTTTCCAGCCATTTCCACACGGATCACCTATTCTGAATCCACATCTGACACTGGATACGTTTATATGACATAGACTTTTAGTGGACTACTTTTTTGTCATTTTGTCATTATTTTCAGGGCTGCACTATTTTTATGTTATATATATATATATGTGTGTGTGCAGGGCGGCAGTGGAGCGCAAAAGCACGTTTTTAAAACATGCTCCACGCTCCCGACACATTCACGGGTAGGGGGCGTGCGCCCACACTCCCGCCGACCGCGGCGGGTGACACGATTCGATCCAGGAGGTATCAATCATTAGATTTCAGCCAGTGATTTCTGGCTGAAATCACATGATCGGTCCCTGTCCTATCCTGTCCTGTGTTGACATTTACACAGGGCAGGATATGATGTCATTCTTCTCTGCCTGGACACATTCCGTAGAACACTCTAGGTCACATTTAACCCCTTGATCGCCCCCCCCCCAGTTAACCCCTTCACTGCCCTGTCACCAGTGTCACTGATCAGTGAACCGATTTTTACTGATCACTGTATCAGCATCGCTGGCGACTTCCGATAGTGTTAGCGCCCCTCCCAGATAGCGCCAGTTTGCCCGCCAGTACACCAGTAATCCCGTTTAACCCCTTGATCGCCCCCCCCCCCCCCCCCCGTTAACCCCTTCACTGTCCTGTCACCAGTGTCACTGATCAGTGAACCGATTTTTACTGATCACTGTATCGGTGTCGCTGGCGACCTCCGATAGTGTTAGCGCCCCTCCCAGATAGCGCCAGATTGCCCGCTAATACACCAATAATCCTGTCTAACCCCTTGATCGCCCCCCCCCCCCCCCCCCCCCCCCCCCCAGAGTTGATCCCTTCACTGCCCTGTCACCAGTGTCATTGATTACAGTGAACAGATTTTTACTGATCACTGTTTTAGTGTCACTGGTGACTTCCGATAGTGTTAGCGCCCCTCCTAGATAGCGCCAGTTTTCCCGCTAATGCACGGGATTTTTTTTTTTTACCAAAAACATGTAGCAGAATACATTTTGGCTTAAATTTATGACTAACTTTGAGTTTACGATATATTTTTGATAGCTGAAAGTAGAAAATATTGGGTTTTTTTTTCAAAATTTTCGTGGTTTTTTTTTGTTTAAAAAATAAAAAGCGCACAGGTGATCAAATACCACCAAAAGAAAGCTCTATTTGTGTGAAAAAAAGGACGTAAACTTTGTTTGTGTACAGCATTGCATGACTGCGCAATTATCATTTGAATTAGTGCAGCGCAAACAGCAAAAAAAGGCCTGGTCATTAAGGGGGGTAAATCCTCTGGAGCTCAAGTGGTTAATAAACACAGACGTCTTATAGTCTTTTCTCACTGCCATAGAAACAGGAGCAAAACAGTCAGCAGCCTGCTGTCACCATGGCGATGCCAAAGCTTAACGGCGCGCAATCTAGCTTGCTAGGTCCTATTGCTTTACAGCCGCTTCTCCTATTCCTCGTTGTCCCTGTCAATCATAGATAATGCGTTCTCATTGGACGGCTCTGTGCTTGTTAGGCTGAGCCGTAGGAGGATGAATTGGTCATTTAAACGATTGGTTGAGGCGGTGTAGTTGGATTGTACTTGTGTGCTGTTTGGAAGCCCCCAGAACACTGAGTGTGAGTATGTGTGTTGTCCTCCTGTACGTATGACACTGAGCGCCTATGGCAGCTGTGCTAATCCAGGTTGCTTTCCAGGCTCCATGGCTTCTGGAGGGAGTGGAGACGTTTATCCGACTCTATGGGGCTTCAGTCCTGCCCTGGACCTGCAGATGCATTGTGAGTGAAGTTTACTGAGCTATGAGTTCTGATTCCAAATATCCGGGTGTGTAAATGGTGAGCACAGTCCAAGCTCCTGAGCTCACCATACACCATACAATCTGATTGGACAATCTCCTATAGATCTGCTCTCAGTAGGCTGCTTTCACACTTCTCTGTTTTCTTCTGCTTTTGAATTAAAAAAATAAGCACTTTACTGTGTATTCCTATGAAACTCTTCACGTTGATCTGTTGGTGTATTTTTTTTTTTTAAAGTTAAAAAGGTAAAGTTAAAAAAAAAAAAAAAGTGCACCTCTCTATTGAAGCAATGAAAAACACGGCAATAACTCACCTGCGTTGTGGTTTAAGTCATATGTTCTTTTTCTTTCCCTTTTTATTTATTTCAGGTACTTATTATAGCGCGCGTCAATTTAACCAGAGACGCGCTTTACATATAATATTGCATATACATTTCACATCAGTCCCTATACCCTCCAGGGACGTACAATCTAAGGTCCTAACGTCCCTGGTTCAATATATGTGGGTCTCGAGTTTTATGTGGGTACACTAGAGCAGGGGCAGGGGGAGGACTGACCAATCATGGGGCCCCCGGGCAATAGGGATCATGGGGCCCCTGTGTCCTTGCCCAAACTCAAAAAAAGCCTATGAGAAAGGTACCAGGGGCATCTCATGGGGCCCTACTGACCATGGTGCCCTCGGGCAGTGCCCGAAGTTTCCAAATGGTCAGTCCTGCCCCTGTATAGAGCCCATTCATTTGAACTGACTCCCGTGCAGAAAAGAATGTCCCTTGAACCTCGGTTCCCTCAGTACGGTTGTGTTTTCAGTGCGGGCGGCATGCCATTTAGAATTAATGGCAACCTGCCCACACGGGTCCGCATTTCTCTGTGCGTGTGGTGCAGCTGCACATATTTTTGTGTGGATCCGCAGCAGCACCAACCATCCCACCAGATTTGAACCTAGCCTTATGCAGGCCTAGAGGGGTCTGTTTATCGGCCGACTTTTCGTCCGCACGAAAAATCGTCGATAATCACGCCGTTTGTGTGGGCCCACCCCTCGCGGTCGTTTTTTTCGCAGGATCTCCTCAAATTTTTATCGGTCATGCTGGAAAATCCACAGGCATCAATGGGGCCGACGCGCAATTTTTCGTTTGTGTGACCGAAAATTTCCGACGATAAAACAGCCCGCTATAGCCTGCCTTACCTCATATTCATACATACACCATACTAGGGCCAATTTAGGACACGGAGCCAATTCACCTACATCATGTCTATTTATATACAGAGGGAAACCCATGCCAGGAACAGGAGTAACATGCAACTCAGGCTGGTGGTGCACGTGGTTTGGCGGATTCGAAACGAACGACCCTAGTACTGCTCAGTCGGAAGTGCTAACCATTTAGCCTCTGTGCTGCCAATATTTTTCATTAAAAAAAAAAAAAATGCTACAATCTCAGTTAAAAACGCATGCTTTTTGCGGTGGATCAGTGTGAAAGTAGCCCAAGTTGTAAGAGCCTACTAATGGGTGATACTAGATGGAAGGGCTGCTTGTGCAGGCCATTGATGGGTCGTTTTAACCGTCCGATTTTTCGGCAAAAGAAAAATCAGAGCGCATAGATTTTCGTACATTAGTGGATTAGAATTAACGTCGGGTATTTTTTCGTGTATTTATTGCACTTTCAGGACTATCGGTTATGTTGGGAAATTTTGATGAGCGATTTTCCCCGCAATGATGGCCAAATCAGACAATCGTTTTAACAATAAAATATCTGTTCGCATGAGCTGTGACCTGAAGGGACAGGACAAGATATGGGGTGAACTTTATGATTTAGTCCCGGATGATTTTTTTTTTTTTTTTTTTTTTCGAAAGACGATTTATCGTTCGAAAAAAATCGGCCTATGTTCGGGACCGTCTATTCGCCTGCATTAGGCTTTGTCCTCATGTTACATAGTTCTAAGGCTAAATGCTGGCCAGACACATAGAATTGCATTTGAGAATTTTAATTTTAAAGGATAAGTTCACCTTGGAACTATGTAAAACATATTCTCACAGCCACCGCCCCGAAACTCTATGAATGCTGCGCATTTCTCACAATGCATCGCAATCAGCATTGTCTGTGATGTGTTGGCACCTGTTTCGAATACAAAAGTTAACGCCTTAAACGCAGATTGCAAAGCAGTGCATTGGCTGCACTGGATTGTATGGTAAAAAACAGCCACGAGATCCGCTTCCAGTGCGGCTCCAAAAAAAAAAGGTTCCTACATGTCTTTGGTACTGATTTGAGCCCTTCCAAAATGAGTGGGCTCTCACATTGCACATCACTCACTGTGCGAATACATACATGTGGATTCTAGTGTGAACCAGGGGCTGGAGTGACAGTGCTAAACAAACATAGGTTCAAACCATGCATTTTTTTACAGTGGAACTGTACTGCATTGAGCACACAGGACCAAAAATGCTAATATCGTTTTTAAATGTTTGACGCCTAGTAGCAGAAGTACTCGCGCTTCAGGGCGGTGCAGGGCTGCACATGCCACCGTACTCATGCCACCATTGGCGGCTTCAGCTTTCGATCACTGGGTCCCAGCTGGAGATTTCCTCCTCATGGTACCGACATTCGGTGATTGCTGTGGAACACTGACTAGGGGAGAGGTTGTATGTAAACCAAACAGATCTCTCCCCGGGCAGCTACCAGCAAGCGGATGCATTTGTATTGCACTGCATAGTAGAACAATACAAACAGCAGCGTGGCTTAAACAGCTGTAAAATGCACACAGTTAACCCTTATGATTGTCCCAGGATGTTTAACCCCCTTCCTGCCAGTGTTATTAGTACAGGAGTTAGTGTTTTTTTATTAGCACTAATCATGTATTGGTGTCACTGGGGATGTCGGCGGCAGTTAGTTCCCTCGGTTTTGGTGTCTGATGCTGCCGCAGTCCGCTTTAAAGTCGCTGATTGTCGCCATTACTAGTGAGTGTATTTAAAAAGAAAGAAAAAAAATCAGATGTATATGTACTGCCATTTGTAGACACTGGACTTTCTGGTAAACCATTACCAGTAGTTTACAACCCGTATTGGGATTTTTTTTTTTTTGTATCTTTACAGTGTAAAAAATAAAACCCGCAGAGGGTGAACAAATGCCGCCAAAAGAAAATCTCTATTTGTGGGGGGGACAAAAAAGGACATAAATTTAATTTGGGTGCAGCATTGCATGACCACACAATTGTCAGTGAAATAACGCAAAAAAATGGCTGGTCAGAAAGGGGGGGGGGGGGGGAGGTAGGTAATGGTAAAGCCTCTGGAGGTCAAGTGGTTACAGGCAACTTCCCTCATCCATCATGTGTCCCATTTTATTTTGCTGAGAAATCGCTTAAAAAACACAAAACAAAAACTGCCCCTCTAGCATTTCTGGCTGTGCCATCTTGAGTAAGGGCAGATGATTTGTGTAGCATTTACTTCCTTGAATCCATCTGCACTTAACTCAGGCATGCAGAATAGGAGGGTCGTGCATGGCTGGAAAAACTTTCCCCACCCATATGAAGACTCCTTGGGATGCATGAAATAATTTGCGCCCTAGGCATGGTAACCAAGACCGTAATTGAGAAATCTAAAAAAAAAAAAAGTTTAAAAACCGTAAATATGAAATGCTTTCCTATTATGCTTACAGCATAAGGATGTAAAATGGTCAATATTGACAGTGAAGTTCACTTTATGCCCTCCAGCCACAAGTCAAGACAAGCCCAAAGGAAACTTTACATCGATTGTACAATCAGATTGCATAGTATAGTCAGGCCCGAGATTCGGAAATTGTGGTTCTAGCAGAAGGTGAATGCCAGTCCATTCCTGTGGGCAGAGCTCGGCATTAGACTTGCACAGTAAGTATGAGTTACACAGGATGTTAAAGTGGAACTGAAGGCAGCAAATACTCACCTTCCTTCTAGTTTCTCCTCCTCACCAGAGCCAGCATCTTCTGTGTACTGGTTTTGTCCCTGTTATTTTAAAGCGAAGTTCCACTCACCTCTCAAAAATATAAGTCAGCAGCTACAAAAACACTGTAGCTGCTGAATTTTTAAACAGCCACTTACCTGTCCCTCGGTCCTGTGGTGTGTCCCTGCAGTCTTTCACGGCCGTCTGTATTCCAGGATGCCGGCATCTTCATGCATGTGGTCGCTGGGCTGTGACTGCTTGCGGCTTCACAGCCGGGTACCTACTGCGCATGCGTGAGTAGCGCTGCACTTCATGAATGGTCCTGTAGTCTTCTGGGACCTGTCAGGGTCCAACAGACTGGAGGGAGGGGTAGGACACCTTCCAATCACTAGGCAATCGGAACGGAAGAAGGTAGCGGGTACACTGTTAAAAAATCGGGTAATCACGTCCTCCCCGCCCCCCAAAGGTTCCAATCCTTAAATGGGGAGCGGGGGAGCAGTCCCTTAAAGCGGAAACTTCCCTTTTTGGGTGGAGCTCCGCTTAAATGGCTGAGGGATTGATGTTACTTTTGTGCATGACGGGAGGCTGTCATTCTCACACAGAGGGATTTGGCCGGCCGCTGTAAGCTGAGCTGTACGTGCACGGGGATCACTTTGCTATTCAGCCCTGTGCTTACTTTGTCAATTTTCGGTCATGCAACACTATTCGCAAACTATTTTTACCAAGTTTTTGTCACACTTTTGAGTGGTATTTGATCACCCCTGGGTTTTTTTTTTTAAATGTCATAAAACATCCAATAAAAAAAAAAAAAAAAAAAAAACTAATTTCTCCTTAAATTTAGGCCAAAATTTATTCTGTTAAGTGTCTTTTGGTTATTCGAAAATAAAAAAATAAAAAAGCCCAATAAGTGTATATTGGTTTGTGTGAAAGATATTGCGTTTACAAATGTGGTATACTATGTATACTGGAATGTATGCCGTTATGACACTATACTGGTAATGGCAGTGATTAGTGACTTACACAGGGAATGTCATAGGGTAGGGTGGCGGGCATTCTGGTCAGATGTAATACTGTAC